TGTGCAAGTCAGATAGAGGGGGTGCATGAACACCATTGTCTTCATTGGGTGAGGTACGCGTGGGATCGTTGACATGTGTGTGATCACCACAAGGAGCGAGATGGCGGACGGATACAGTGCTTTCTTTCCCGCCGGGAAAACGAACACGGGCGTAATGTGGATTGCTATTTATTAATTGGACTTCCTCAACGACGGGCTCATACTTTGAGGCACGGTCAAATCTCCTCAGTAAAACAGGTCCTGGAACAGTGAGCCAAGTCGGTATAGATAAACCACAGGATGACCGGCGTTCAAACCGGAATATCCGTTCATGTGGAGTAACATTCGTGGAGACGCAGAGAAGGGACCGTATAGAGTGGAGGGCATCCGGTAGAGCCGACTCCCAGTGACAGATTTGGAGGCCTTTCGTCTTGAGTCTAAGCTGGATTGCGTTCCAGAGTGTTCCGTTGAGGCGTTCGACTTGCCCGTTCCCCTGGGGATTATAAGAAGTTGTTCGGCTGGTGCAAACTCCCCTGTCATGTAGGAATGTGGACAGTTCGTCAGATATGAATGACGAGCCACGATCCGAATGTACATATGCAGGCATGCCAAACAAAGAGAATAACTCACACAGACATTTAATAACTGTAGACGCACATGTATCTACGCAGGGAAAGGCAAACGGAAAACGAGAAAACTCGTCAACGATGGTAAGGAGATACCGGTTTCGAGTAACAGAAGGTAGAGGTCCTTTAAAATCGATGCTAATTCGTTCAAATGGTTGGGTCGCTTTGATGAGCGTAGCGGGGGGTGGTTTGTAAAACTGCGGTTTGATGGCGGCGCAAACCGTACACTTTGTGGTGATGTCCTTGACATCTTGGAGAGAGAACGGCAGGTTTTTGGAAAGAACAAAGTGGTGCATTCGAGTGATTCCAGGATGGCACAAGGAATCGTGAATTTCTTTTAATTTATCATTGCCGATCACATTGGCGCATAGGTTACGCGATAAGGTGTCAGCAACCAGATTGTCTTTTCCAGGTCTGTAGCTCACATCGTAGCTAAAAGCGGAAAGTTCCATTTTCCATCGCTGAATTTTATCATTTTTTATCTTACTTTTTTGCGAGGAACCATACATAAAGGAAACTGACCGCTGGTCAGTGATAAGCTTGAAGTGCTTCCCGAAGAGATAATGCTTCCATTTACGGATAGATTCAACGATGGCGTATGCCTCCTTCTCAATAGCAGAGTGATTCTTTTCGCTCGGTGTCAGTGTTCTAGAAAAGAAGGCCACCGGTTGGCCGTTCTGAGTCAGAGATGCAGCAATGGCTATGTCTGAGGCGTCAGTCTCGACAACCAATGGTGCGTTGTAGTCGACTGTCACAACCATGGCGTTCTCTAACTCCTTCTTTAAATTTTTGAAAGACTGTTGCACACGCTCCGGTAAGGGGAAAGTCTTATTTCTGACAAGCACACTGATTTTGTCAGAGAAGCATGGTATCCATTGCGAATAATAAGCAAACATACCAACAACACGTTGTTGGGATTTAGCGTCATGTGGATGAGGGAGTTCACGAATAGGTTTCATTCGTTCAGGATCTGGTTTGATAATTCCTTTAGAGACTTCGTAGCCCAGAAGGCGTATTTGTTTGGCTGCTATGATGCTTTTCTTACAGTTAAGGGTAATTCCATATTTTCTTATTACTTCAAAGAAAGATTTGAGGTTCTGGTCATGCTCACTTTGGGTAGTCCCACAAATAGTGACGTTGTCGATGTAAGCGTAGGTGCTACTTAGGTTCTCAGACTTGATTATTTGGTCAATAGTACGTTGAAAACATGCTACTCCGTTGGTTACACCGAAAGGAATACGACGGAACTGAAACAGCTCTCCGCATGCTTCAAAAGCCGTATACGGTTTATCTTGCTCACTGATTGGAACTTGATGGTAAGCACTCAATAGGTCTAAGGTGCTAAAGACAGTATGACGGGAAATTTCTTCGATCATTTTATCCAGTCGCGGTAACGGATACGCGTCTAGGTATGTGAACCGATTAATGGTTTGACTGTAGTCCACTACCATGCGTCTTTTGTGGTTTGAATTTTTCGTGACCAGTACTTGAGCCCTCCATGGAGAACTCGAAGGTTCGATTATACCTTCATCCAATAGTCGATTAACTTCACAGCGGATAAATTGTTCATCGTCCGGATTATAACGTCGCGATTTTGTAGCAACAGGCTTGCAGTCGGGTGAGAGGTTAGCAAAAAGAGGAGGTGACTCGACCGCAGCAGCAGGTAGACCGCAGAGGGTGAATGGACCTCGGTCCCCACCGAATGTGATTTCAACTTTGTTATGTAGACCAAGGAAGTCATGGCCTAGCAGCAGGTCAGCACATAGATTGGGTAATACCAATAGTTTGATCTTTTTGTAAACGGTGCCCCTGTAATCGATGGATGCGTAGCAGTAGCCTCTAGTTGAACACGTCAGAGAGGTAGATGCCATGGTAATCACAGAATTGTTAGCATATACCTTCCAGCCATGTTTACCAACCACCAAAGGAGATATGTAACTGCTCGAACTTCCTGTGTCTATGAGGGCCTGAAGCGATATCCCGTTCACCTTTATGCTGGTCACCGTGCGAGACAAGCAGTTCGGGGCCGCAGCAGTCAACAGGGAAGATAAGGCCGAATCCGTTGTGCAATTTGAGTGACACTTTACAGATTTGGATCGACAAACACGCTGAAAATGGCCTGTTTTGCCACATGATTTACAAACTGCTTCTCTTGCGGGGCACTTTGACCGTGGATGTCTGGAACGACCACAAAAGTAACATATCTGAGAACTGATTGACGAGAGATAGGGTGTAGAATCAGGGGAGTTTGAGTGTGAAGGGATAACTGTAGATGTCTGTAAAGGTGCTGCAGCCGCAGAAAATGATATCGCCTGGTTATGTGAGTATGACTGAGCTTGTTTGTGGGCCAATTCTAATGACCTGGCCAATTCATGAGCTTCATCGAGAGTGAGTTCGTTTTGAGCTAGAAGTCGTTCTCTGATGGTAGTAGACTGAAGTCCGTTGATTAGAGCATCGCGTACACTTTCGTTTTGATGGTCAATGGCGGACACCGCCTTGAAATCACAATTTTTGGCCAAGGATTTAAGCCTCTGAACAAACTGATCAACATCTTGACTGGTGTCTTGTTTGCAAGTTTGTAGAAGATGGCGAGCATAAATTATATTCTTTGGACGAACGTACAACTTTTCAAGTGCACTGATAGCTGATTCGTAATCTGGACAGTCAGCGATATAAACGTATACAGGTGCATCCACAAAATGGATCAGAGTTTCGAGTTTATTTAGATTGGGCGATTCGACAGTGCCCAGAAACGTTTGGAAGGTTCGGAACCAATGATTCCAACGCGTTGTTGCGTCTGGAGAATTAGGATCTGCGTCGAAACACTTGGGTCGCAGCAACGGTTCCATTGTATTCTTAGACAAGTAAATTGTTACGAATAGAGTTTCGGTTCTGATTGAGCGCGAGAACAAGAATGAATAGCGTAGAATGAATAGCGCTTTACTTGTCTAAGAATAGACGTACATAAGCTAAAAACGAAGGCGAAAGCATGGTTAATACAAAACGACAATGTGAGCACAAAGAATATTCATGACAGACAGTCGCCTTCAAACTCCGAAGCGAAGCGTGTCGACTTCCTCGGAAAGTTAATTTGCTCATTGCATCCTTAAAAATGCAATAGAAAATGTATATTATTATTATTGTCATTATTATTATTATTATTATTATTATTATCAGAGACAGCTAATGTTCCACTGCCTTACAACCACAAAGTTTATCTAATTGTATTTGAAGTCTTTGAGCGAAAAAAAGGAGCAATGAGTGAGTGCGTGATGTCTGTCACAAAAATTCTCAGGCGCCTACACCTCGAAGTGTCCAATAAGACAGTTTGTTAAGAAATTCTCTGCACGAACGCTAAGGACACTGATCAGTCCCCATTTCTCGTAACATCTGAAGCCAAACGCAGCGGGGGTCACTGGCACCACACCCTAGAAGGCGGACACCACCAACAAGACCCAAGCTTTGTAATCTTTTCACACCTTTCTGCTAAGTCGTATGTTGTCCACCTCGCGGTTTGCGCCATTCTGAAGGAGGCACGAAAAAAACTCGTCCCGGTGGACGGAGTTTCAACACATTGCTGAGCCGCCGCTGTTGACGGTGCTGGGTATTTTCAAGCGATGACATCGTTAGGAATTCGTTGATGCTATCTGACCTAAGCAACGCTTGTGAAGCATCCTTTCGCAACCACACAACAACAACGCCATTGCACGCGACCCTTGTAAGCACAAGGATCGCAAATTAGCAAACGTGCTTCGAGCCTTTGAGATTCATGCGCTGAATTTATCAAACACACTTCCGTTTGGGCTAATAAAGACACCGAGGTATGTAAAATTCCTCACAACCTCCAGTACTTGTTGAATTGTAAGGGACATGTTCAGAGACTACATGACCTTAATTTTGAGGAGCAAGACGTTTGCCAACTGATGTTATGATGGCGGTCAGTGTATTCAGCAGGGATTGTGCTTCGCCTCCGTCTTCAAGGAACAGGATGATGTTGTCTACCTACTCCAAGTCGACAAGGTTTTCTTCAGCAACACTTTAAACACCGGGGTTTGGAGGACCTTCCAGAGTTTGTCTAATTCTTTCATTGGCGACGAAGTTGAATAGCAAATAAATCGTCCAGCTGTAGCACCCTTCTGGTGCCTAGCTTCGCTGCCACCCGAAGGACGCAGAGGGCTGAGATACTGCCCTGTTGCCCAAGCCTAGACAGGGGAAGTCGAGAGGCAGAGGTCGGTTTGAACCACGGTCCTTCCGGTCAGTAAATTCGCGCTCTAACCATCTAAGGGACTAGGTAAGCTTTTATATACTGCCCTAGAGTTTAGTGAAACATTGGGCCTTCTATTATTATTTCATATCATTTACTAATGACTGTTGCCCACACACTAACGTCCCACTCATTTCACATTCTTATCTTTTCCGTTCTTAGTTAATTGGTGCCGCAATACTGTGCTTCGCCATCTACTGCTACGTTGACGCCACTATTCAGAGCGCCATCTCCCAATCTGGATATGGGGACAAAGTTCAGAATTTGCTCTATGGACTCATTGGTCTCGGATCGTTGACGATCATTGTCTCCATATTTGGATGCTGTGGAGCCTATCACGAATCAGCTTGTCTGTTGGGCACCTACTTCACCTGTCTGGTTATCATGTTCGGGGTCGAGTTGGCTGTTGGTGCGCTTTGCTTAGTGTTTCGAGACGAGACTGAAACCAGAATAAACAAGGCGTTAGAAAATGTTATCATGAGTTTTAGTGATACGTCAATTCCCGGCAACAATGGCATGACCAGTTCATATCGAGACCTCATACAACGAGTGGTAAGTGACAGCCAACACTGTTTGACCCTATTCTTTTCAATTTTGTTATTCGTTTTCCCACACGACAGCCATGAGCACACTACTACAGCTTCGTAAAATCCCCGATACTGTTTTGGCCACCGCAGGTATAAACGAATAAGTAGGTAAAATTGGTAGGGTCATCATCATCATCATTATCAAGACAACTACGGACACAAACATTTCTGTGTGGCACTGACAACAATTGGAACCAATTGACGAGATGTGCGGCCCAGCCTCATACACAAACAGGCCGAGCTGTCGTGACCCATAGGATGCATGGTGCAATTATTGAAGTTTGCTCGTTCTGGTTACTGTTCATGTTGCTATCCGCCATTTTCTTCTTGGATGTTATGGGGGTAGGCAAAATGCGCACACCTCTGCAAGCCTTCGAGAAGTTCTCCTACCCGGTTTGGTTAGCATATGGCTCTAGCCTAATGATGGGGGTTAAGAAACGTCAAACAAAGGTCGGGCTTGAGTGCTTATCTTGGACTAGACAGCTACTGACCACAAACATTTCTGTGTGGTACTGACAACAATTGAATTGCGAGATGTGCGACCCAGCCTCACACAAACAGGCCGAGCTGTCGTGAGCCATAGGATGCATGGTGCAATCCGCCATTTTCTTTTTGGACGTTATGGGGGTAGGCAAAATGCGCACACCTCTGCAAGCCTTCGAGAAGTTCTCCTACCCGGTTTTTCATAACCACATGCTGCCATCCCTTTTGCTCCATCTGCTGTGTACAGCCATGCAAGAGGCTGGCTGCCGTTCTTGTGGTACAGTCGTACAGTATATAGTATATCAAGACATTACCCCGTGCTTTATCACAAATTTTAGCAGCTCGAGAATGCAGCACAATTCGGCAAGCTCTCAGATAGTAATCGAAAAAAGCATACCTTTTGGTAGGTAATCTTGGTCCAGAAGGATCATCATCTTCCTCCTCCTCATCACCATCATCATCATCATCAAAGACAGCGGCATCAGTGTTGGCACTGATGCTTCAGTGCCGCACAACCATCCAGAAGGAGCAGTTGAGGGAACGAAAAATCCCGGAAAGATGAGACTCTTACTAGTTTCTGGGATTAGCCCAAGGAAGGCACCGGTGAATGAAACGATTTACTACAAAACGGCTATTTCATCTCCAGGAAAAAGAAAGCCGCGAATCGTTCGGTCGGACACTTCGAACGATAAGCCAACTGGCACGATTCAGTCGGAGTCATAACCTGTGTATGAGTTATGGATGGCGACCTTGGACACCCTCCGGAATACATGGATACATTCTTGTCCTCATGCTCTTTCGAGATGCTTGTCCTGCTTTGTTCAAGATTGGAGAAGAAATCCTCTGTTTAGAAGAGCGAGACCGTCACTGTAGAAAATAACTAGCAGTGTGTTGCGAACGTAGAGTTGTTATCTTAACTCTGTGGCAAAAAAAACTCTGCATTGCTTATAAAACGTCGTCTTGTGACAGAACCTTGACCCGGACATAGGTGGAATGATTCATGCTGGTAAGAGGTTGTGTGAACCACAGCTGCAATCCGTCAGAACCACGGCATGCGTAGAAGCGTCCCACCGTCTTCGTGTCCCTTTAATTCAACTGTGCACTAGATTCCGTGGACCGATTGGTTCTTCAACCACTCTACAACAGAGTGCTCTATAGAAGATCATGAAAGCCTTAAGATTTGGTCTTCACGCAACTGTGGGTTTGATTGTATGAGTTGCTCCAAATATTGCCCCATGGACACGGGTGGCTGTCAAGGGTTTTTCGTTCAACTTTACAGCTGATGAGACTTAAAGGATTTCCATCTTTCGGTGTTCAGAGCGCTGGGAGAGAGAGTTTGAGTCACCTGTAATACGCTGGCGCCATTGTCCTCATTAATCAAAAGCAATGCCTCATCAGATATGCTGAACGGGGTCATCTTTTCGTTCCACGCAGACTCAGCATGCAGGACGTGCACTGGTCAAACTTGCACGTAGCCGTTTGAGGAGAGGCACCAGAGGTGTTGGAACAGATTACTTATCTTGTGAATTAAGTCTCTCATGACAGTGGTTTTACAGATGAAGGTAAGCCATCAATAGCTCTTTCCAATTCGTTTCACTTTTGAGGTTGTTAGGACATAAATGACGCGCTTGTCTGACTACAGTACAGACTCTGTAATCGTGGTGGAGAATCTGAGACGTCTCGGTATCTCTGACCAACGATTTCTCAACTCTTTATGTGGAATAGGCTGGGACCAAGAAATATGGGTGTTTAACGGATGCATCCAGCGATGCACTGTACGATGACTTGGTCACATGCTGCGCACGCCGAGTTACTGTATACCGAGGCGGGATTATTCCTATTGGTAATCAGTGGATAAAAATTAGAGTGGGAAGAAAGATGGAGGAAAACACCAATTTGCGAATCAGCTCGGTGTTGATGGGAAACTCAACTAAAATTCCACGGTATCTCTATCGTACTCTTGAACTGAACGTATTGCGCAAAGACCGCCTCACAAACAGTAAATAATACCCCCCAGCTGTAGCACTCTTGGTGCCTATCTACCATGGCACTCAAAGAGAAGCACGAGAGCTGAACTACTGCCAAGTTGCAGTGGAGGTGCTGGGTTTGGGTTCGAACCTTCCGATACGCTTTGGCATCTGAGCTATCTCGAGCTGGTGTTTTAGAACGATATTCAAAATGTTGGAATGTGTTGTAGTGCTACTCTTGAAAGCCCTGCACAGCTTTCTATCGGGTTCCTCGTTCTTGGGGCTAGCTAGAGAGGCCTGTCTCCCCCCAAATCTTCATCAACCTTATCTCCTACTTGAATATCGAGTGGTACGAGCGGTCGCGATAAAAACTCAGTTGCAAATTAACTTGGTGTCAAAAGGAGGCTAAGCTGCATTCCACCTGAAGGGAATTCAAAGGATTAGATCTACTTGGTGTGTCTCGTAGCAAAACTGGTACTGGGCTTTCCATAGCTGTCCTTTGGGATGGAGGGGTTCTTACGAGTGACTGATTTTTGGTTGGTATATTACATTATTATTCTTCCTCCCTGTTTGGTCTTATCAGAAATAAAATTGTCGTGCAGTAGACAATGGATATGATGAACTACTAGGGACCAAAATACCCAGTTGCTTAGCAGAAACGCAGTACTTGGACCGAGTAATCTGCAATTTCTTCTACAATCATTTCACTGTTATTCGCCATTTAACCCTTGGACTGTTTGACTGGTTGCCCTCATAGCTTAGATCGGTATTCATGATGAAGGAGTAAGTGTATGTTCCGTCGCAAACCGGAACTGAGTTATTGATTAATTGTCGCACCCATGTAGCCCAATAGTAGGTCGAATTTCGTTCCATGCCTATGCATGCTGATTAGATGCACGGTTGGGGTCGGGCACTGTATGGAACCAACCCAGTTTGTCGATATCATGGTGTTATTCCAAGCTTGGATTATCGATTCGCATTTTCCTCAAAGACAAGACCTGAATGTGGTCAGTAGTGTACTTGGAACAAATGTTCACAGAAAGATGGCAATCCTCCGACATCATGAGGCTCGGGAGAACAACGAATCTCTTTACATTAGTCAGTGTGTTTAAAAAATGAAGAAACTGAGATGCATTTGAAAACACTCAGTAATTAGCAAACGAACTGAACACATACGGAGAATAGCGGCGTAGATAACCGCTTTACGTTAGCTAGCCAGCGCTATGTGACGTCTTTTTTTCACTGGCTCGGACGTTCATTCCAAAACACCTTTTCCCCGATGACACGCTCGTCTAAAAACATGGACTGGGTAGCTGAATTCCAGGCCATCTATGTGAGCTAGCATCGAGTAACAGTTGTAGATTTCTTAATTTGTGTTACTTGTAAGTCGCTGTCTTGCACAGCGATCCCTTACACAATGTTCGTTGGACGGTGTTAGGACTGCACAGTTAAACAAGGATTTTGAGAGTCTAGGCTCATCGTAGCTAAAAAACCATGAAGTCTGATGCCAGATAACTTTCTCCTCCCTTTCCAAAAAAGTTAACCTACCGGGCAATAGTAGGGCCAAAATCACCACAGTTTTTCGGCCCATTTTAGAAGGCCCCTCATTTTGTTTTCGAAGAACTTTGGTGACAATCGGTACATTTATTGCTGGGCAACATTTCGCTTTTGACACAAAAGCTTCATCAGGCCAAGTGACTAGGTTCCGAGGTTGGTCGAGATTTAAGGCGAAAGGGGAACCAATCAGCTAAGTTTAGCTAAATCTCTGTTGGGTGCCGGCCGAGGGATTCTAGTGTAATTTGTTGAAATATTGGTAGCTCGGATGAGTTTATTGGTTGTTGATCAGGTGGCTGTTGATCTGTTCGCCGAGCTTGGCAATTGGCTTGCAAACGTTTCGTCACCATACGAGGAGACATCATCAGTGCGCAGTTGAGTGGGTACTTCTTCCTTGCCTGCGTGCGCTTATATAGCATTCGAGGGCTATCTGTTTTCTTCTGACGTGATTGGCTACTTATACATGTGTTTGGGTTCAGCCTAGGGTCTAGTTCTTCTGGTTCGGTTCATTTGATGGTTCCTCTTTGAACTTCGTTGACCCTTCTGTCAGTCTGTGTGGGTGAGCTAGGATAAAGTGGTCCTTTTAGGGGGTTGGGAAGTCCAAGAACAAATTGGGAAGACCACTGTATATGGTCGAGAGCCGATGTTAGTAATTTCTATCCTGAATACCTGACTGGACTGTTGCCCATTTCCCATTATCTTCTTTCCCTTAAAAAAAATTGACATGGTTGAATGGCGTCGAAGCACCATCGTTGCGTGTTCAGGTTACCGTCACTGATGGTGCTAATCAAATCGATAACAATGCATCTAAAATAGAATTACAGGAGAATCTGCTGGATCACGCATTGTTCAGTACAATTTTCACTAGTCATCTACGGCAAATGGATATGATTATCCTAAGCAGGTGTGCAACTGATAGTAATCTTTTTTTAAACGTCACTGTTTCATCAGTTCTCCTCTTGTGGAACGATTAACCCTTTCGATCCACCCGTGTTTCGTCCTTATCAGAGCCCAACAGTGCTTGGTTGAACGGACGGACATTCGAACCTCGGAAATCTGACATGTGAAGGAAAGAAAGCGTTCAGCTGTAGCACCCTTCCGGTGTCTAGCTGTCATGCCATCCGAAGGAAGTACGAGGGCTGGGATACTGCCAGGTTGCCCAAGCCTAGACAGGGGAAGTCGAGAGGCGGAGGTCGGATTCGAACCACGGACCTTCCGGTCAGTAAATTCGCGCTCTAATTTACTTGGACCATCTCGCCCCTAAACGTTGGAATATTTCCAACACAGTTCGGATCTGAGTCCCACTGATGATCGTGTGGATTTGCTGGTGAAGAACTCACCACAGATGGACAAACTTGAAGATGCGCGCCAGGTGCCACGCCAAAGGACATTCTAAAACTTGAGAAACATGTGCCAGCGAAGTGTAGTAGTCCTCATAGAACTTGAAAGGCAATGTCGTTGTTGTCCTTATAATCCCGAGGCTTTTGAATATTTCAACGATTCCAATTTCGTTTGCACCTTCAAAATGGATAGTTCCTGTAATCTCGTGTGCACAAATCCTTTTTTTCTCTCCTGAATTCAGTCGTTGGTGATGTTTCGGAATACAGGTAGCTCGGTTGCACTGCTGTGCTGGTAGTCTGCTCGCCCAGCTTGGTAGTCGGATTACAAACGTCGCGTCACCAGTCAAGATGACATCATCGGTGTGGAGTTAAGTGGGGACCACTGCACCCTGCACTGATGATGTCACCTCGACTGACAATGAAGTGAATTCAGTCGAATCAGGAGACTTACCTGTCCATACCTCCATAGTAAAGGTGGGTGCGTAATAACGGCAGAGGGCGAGAAAGAAGGGGAAAATGCTTGTGGATTATGGAATACACCCAGTGTCCAGTTGAGTTCAGCTGTTCGGCTGTAAACCCTCTGCCGGAGGTGCGTTGGTTCACCATGAATGAAGCGAAGAAGAATACACACTGAAGACAGTGGTTCGAATAAAAAGCCTATGGGAAAGGTGTCGTACTCAATAGTGGAAGACATTCGCATTCACACCACTCTCATTTGAACAGTCCTGTCCTGATGCAATCTTCAGGCGAATCCACACCGGAAGGACAAACAGCGGGGCTCGAGTTTCGCTCTTATCGGGGATGTGCTGCAAACTAGTTACACACGAACCTCAGATACTTTGTTGAGGACCATGAAAACAGCTCTGGTTGATACACTGAGGATTGGTCCCTGAATGCTCCTTTAGATGGTCGTCTTTCAGTAAACCCAAGACGCATGGACAACGGGGAGCGCTTACTGCAGCTGCGTGATGACCACTTTTCAGTGCTGCTTCCCGTAACAGCGAAAATCATTTGACCGCGCGATGCCCACAAGTGCACCAGTCCCAAACCCAATTAGAGCACATTGCAAACAGCTGTCACTACTTCTGGAGTACTTGCGTAGACTCCGATCAGCCAACTCGGCGCACCAACTGACGTTAGGTAAAATTGAGTGTCCATGCGGCCTGGAAGCTTGGTAGTCCCAAAAGGTCGAAAAAATGAAAGGAGCAACAAGTTCGACAGGTCCTCAGAAGCCACTCATCCGTGAATCCATCACAAACCACGATGACATATCCAGCAAAAAACTTGGATCGCTGGGCAGAATACTCCAAATAACAACGTAGTTGGCCACTCAATGCTTCATCCAGAACCGTCAGCTTTAGTTGCTCGGCTGTGACTTACGTATGAAGGCTAATTCTCGAACAGATCACGAGGTGGATAGCTCGTGGTTTGGCAGAATGGTGTGAATCAGTATCAACATTGATGTCGCTGTCTGTGATGGTTCTGATGACGATGGTTTCGCTGATTCAATGGCTGTTGTTCGCGAACGACACTTCGTATATTCAAGACGAGACCATGCCCAATAAGACTTTCTCTATCTGAATGGTTTTGGCATATGATCTCACTTCTAAGTGCTTTCGAAAGCAACCGGGAGTAGCTCTTTTCGGGCCACCTCTTAATCGTTCTCAATTGGATTGTTCGATTTCGGTGGGTTTTATCCTTTTTATTCGTCGATCAGTTATCACCTGTTACGGGTAACCAAATAGCTGGTAGTTTACGACCGTTTCGCTGTTGTTGATGCCTCCTCTCATTGTCCTTCTCTTCATAGATTCAATGTTGCGGCATTTACGGTGTCGATGACTACCCTGGTCCAAACATTCCAGCTTCTTGTTGCATTCCCGGTCGTGCGGGGTGTCCAAGTAAATCGGCAGCATTCACTGTGGTAAGCCGGCCACCCTCCGTTTGTTTATCTGTCTGTACGTTTCACCTCTTGGCATCGTCATCGATTCACATCAACAACCACCCCACTCGTTTTTCACCAAGTCGAAATGTTGCCACTGAGCAGGCCTAAGACTGCTGTTGTGGATGGCTTCTCTATCAACTTTCAGTCCATAAAATCAACCCTCAGATGTGTGACGCATTGCAGAATAACTGGGACGTTTATCTGGATGTCGGGTTACGTATGGGTTCATTTGTGACATTAGGCCGCCTGCCTAGTTCTACCCTTTTCTTTTTATGCCACTTTCAGAGTTGATCTGCTGACAAAAGTCGGGTTTAGATTAATCGAGGAAATCCTGAAAGAACATCATGCTTTATCCTGTTAGGATCGGCTCCCGTAATCAGCGAGCAACCTGTCCTAAATGTTAGTAAAACACTCTACGTTGGAACATCATTTCTACGACAGACTGTTCAGCTCGCAAAGTCAGCTGACCTTTTCCCCTTGTGACCTCAACGTGTAATCCATGTTGTAGTGCTACTTGTGATTAGGTTTTTCGCTTCCTAAAATCAGCTGATGACGTGAGGATGTCGGTGCAATCACTGATGATGCTTTTGCCGGAATACCGTCACAATCTTTGTTGCAGCAGCAGCGCCGGTTTTGCACACCGGTGCTTTACTGGCACGCAATCTGTGTTCGACTATTCTGACTTTAAACATATCGCGGAAGTTCAGGAATGCGACGGCCCTGGGCAAAAAAGTTGCTGAATTTTCACATTTGAGTTTTTTTCCTTGGGGGTAGTCGACTTAGCAATTTCTGCACATAGTATGTCGAAACTGGTGTCTTGTGGGCTGTCGGAGAGTTTTCAGCAGACTTGTGAGTAGTTTCCTTTATGAAAATATACTGCGATGTCTCGAATATCGTGACAACTGAATCATGAGGCGGCCTGTGTGCAGCACATTCGGTTGTGGAATATTATAAACGAGAGATTCAGTTGAGTCTCTCGTGAAAACCAAATTGATTTGCAAATGAGTGTATGTTTCGCTTGTCATTCTTGATAAAGTGCCGTTGGTTTCTGTTTTTGGGTGCCGCATAATCATGTATCCTCTAAGGCAAAGTTTGTCGCTTGTCAGTGGATTGAACCGCTACGTATCTGATGTCTGCTATGTGTATTTCCTTTTAGTAACTTTTGCAAATGAGGCTTGGTGTAAGTCATGCCACTCGGAGCACTGGTTTTGATTCCACCTGTTCTTTGTTCTATCGCGATCTCAAAAACAGTGCGTCTTTTTTCCACCACAAAGTGCACAAGAACGCTGTATACCTCCTACCTTATGGCCATGCCTTTGCGTGCTTTGCTGCTTACCGTTGCACTGAAACACCGGTGCTCTTCCACTGAGCTCTCTGCTTCCTGTTTATTTTCGAGTCTAGACTTAATTTTTGTTAGGCCATTATTTATTGAGTTCTTTCTACGCCACCACTACACGGTGGTCACCTTTCAGCTTTCGCAATAAAACGAAAGTTCCCACTTGGGGAAAGGTTTTGTGTTTTCCTCGTGGAGTGTCGCGCAGGTTGACAGACCCCTTGCCTGCCAGGCAAAGTCCAGTGTAAGCCTCTAGTTCTTGTTTGCCGTGTTCTTCTTTTTTCTTTTCAGGTTTTAAGCCCGTTTTGTTTTGTCTGTCGTGAGACGCAATTATGCTGTGACGATTATCTCCTGAGAGGAATGTCGACTGAGTGTTTCGGATATTTGTCTACCAAAAAAGTCGGCTTTCGCAGTCGTACATGAATGACGCAAGTGCTTCTACAAGTTCCCAAGGAAACGGACAAAACTTCACTTCGGCGAGATGGCCCAAGTGGGTAGAGCGCGAATTTATTGACTGGAAGGTTCGTGGTTCGAACCCGACCTCTGCCACTCGACTACCCCTGTCTAGGCTTGGACAGGCAGGCAGTATCCCGACCCTCGTGCTTCGTGCGCGTGGCATGGCAGCTAGGCACCGAAAGGGTGCTACAGCTGAACGATTATTATTATTATTATTATTATTATTATTATTAGTCACCAAACTATACTCTCAGTAATGCTGCCAACAGTCGAGTGGATGAATTGCTTACGGAAGAACCCTCAGTGTCGTGACTCAACGACCGAATATACTCATGTGGTGGAAGGAGGATGCACCAGTGGAATTATGCTGTTGTTGCTGTAAGAAAATTCACCAAGGGGAAGCTGCGTTTAATAGCTGCGTGATTGTCAGTCTGCCATACAGTGTGATGGATCTGTTGACATGAGTTGTAGTCGGCTGCTGGAAGCACTCCAACAGGCTTGGTATTTGCTGCACGCTTCGCATACATCTCCGCCTTCATAGATTTGATGGCGACTTTGGAGTGAATCAGTTGAGGGGTATTTTGCACGGCCGTTAACTTTCTGCTGACATCTGTGGATTTTGTTCTCATACTGGACGGTGAATTGTGGGCAAACCACAAGCTTCTGAGTTGACTTCAACAGCGCGAAGCAGGAGTGCATCCTTTCTTTCTTGAATTCGACCTCCGTCTAAAAGCATTACTTTTTTTCCACAAAGTCAGACCTATCGTAATGTTAAAACGCAGGCACAATGGTGAAGTGCGGTATAGACCATTCTTACCGGATTCTGCCAGTTACGAGATGACTGACAACTCACTCCAGGGGCTTTGAGTGCCAAACACGTAAACTTGGACAGTGGTGTCTTTCTGGATAATGGCGTAAACTGACTACTACTGCCGAACGGAAGACTGTTTCAATAGTGAGAATGCCGGTATTCAGTTCACAGTAAACTGTTCAGCAACAAAATCACGCACCAAGATAAAGTAACAAAACATACAATCTTTGGTCTCACTAGCTGTGATTGAAATATGGGCATTGGGAGCTTCAGTGCACTTTAAATGTGGGAGGCACCCGGTTACAGCCACTTCCTGATTGTTGAAGAACAAGTGTGTGTGTGTGTGTGTAAGGTGGTAGTACCTGCTGTGTTGTTGCACAGCACCGTGAATATGCAGCCTCTTCGTCGGTTTGCCAAACGATGCGCCTTAAGCGTAGCTGCTACACACCCCAAGTAAAAAAATCTGCAACGATATTCTCGTAAACCTGGTGTTCGTATTCGCTTCTGATTCACAGCTGCTAGATGGTATTCAGTTGGTTTTCTACTCATGTGCAGGTGTTTCTGTCTTTTTCTAGTGCACATTTGAAACACATCATTCACGATTTTTGAGCTGAACAATCTGGAAACACCAAACCCGTGATCGGGTACTTTTGTAGAAACGGGAGAAATGCTGCCAAGCTCATGGAGACACTAGTTCCAGGGTAGATTACGGTAGACGTCAACTCGTCTTTTGAGTAGTGGTTAGTTGTAGGAATGAGACAGCAGACAATGGCGAGTCCCGTGAGCAAGGCTCACCGTTGGAAACGGAAAAAGAGCTTGACTGTACAGCGTTTAATTAAAACTTTCTAGTGAATGAGGAGCAAAAAATGACCAACCGGATGGAGCGGTACATTTTGATGAAGACAAAAGAAGCGAATTCCAGTTGGAGATTTCCACGGAAGCAACGGGAGAAAACAAGAAACACTACGCCCCTAGGATGATTTACCTGTCAGGAAAGGGACATCAGTGAGGTGTGATGGATCACATCGCAGAGGGATGAGCATGTGAACGATGCCTAACTCCGAGGGGTCATCATACCCGCAATTGCAAGAAAATAACATGTCGGCTATCAAAAGTGGTGAGGGAATGTAGTAGCGAATTTGAGATGACCAGCAATTCACGGTTATAAAGAAGAGCGTTAGTCACACCATGGGTCCCGGTTCTGTGCGATGCCTTCCAATGCATCTAACCGCAATTTTTCACTAGCTTTCTTACTCCAACCAAGAAGTAAACGCAAACTTTGACTACCGTTGCATATCCTTCAGAAAAATGTTGTTCGCTGTCCCAGACAAGTTCTGAAAAATTCTTGTATCACTTAAAGGTAGTGAAAGTTGATGAACACGGCTACCAACTTCGCGATCCGAAACATATATGCCTCTTGCGATTGATACTGAACTGCCAAGGTTAGTAAAGCAGCTCTACTGTTCGCCGACGAGAATCAATAGAGATGGGCTTGCAGGCGGGCTTACATAAACACTTTGCATCTGACTGGTGAAAGACAAGTTGGGACGAATTGTTTATGCTATCTATCCAGGGTCTATCCGTTCAGCTGCGTTCAGCTGTAGCACCCTTCCGGTGCCTATCTCCCATGCCACCTGAAGGAAGCACGAGGGCTGGGATGCTGCCAGGTTGCCCAAGCCTAGACAGGGGAAGTCGAGTGGCGGAGGTCGGATTCGAACCACGGACCCTCCGGTCAGTCAATTCGCGCTCTAACCACTTGGACCATCTCTATCCAGGGTGGATTGGACTAGCAAGCATACATCTCCCTCTCATTCTGGATCAAAGACTATTTCCTTGCAGGAACTTCACGTCAGCGACAGTTGTGACAGCCAATACCCTGCAGAATGGAATTAAAATCAAGCTGGAGATTGTGTTCCCTTGCAGGAATCGTTCATCTGTAGCACCCTTTCGGTGCCTAACTGCCATGCCACCCGAAGGTTGTGCGAGGGCTGGGATACTGCCAGGTTGCCCAAGCCTAGACGGGAAGTCGCGAGGCAGAGGTTGGGTTCGAACCATGGACCTTTCGGCCAGTAAATTCGCGCTCTAACCACTTGGGCCATCTTGCCCCTTGCGGGAATTCCAGTATCATTCCAGAATGACGGAGAATGCTGGCCGCGACTTGACGTGCTCTTAGAGAGGGCTCGCTATATATATATATATATCAAAGGAAACAAACTGATCACTCATGTTCTATTAATGTTTTTTGTTTCCTAATCTCCTCTAGGGTTGCAAGCAAGTCACTAACGAACTGGTTCGACAAAAGTTCCTCACCGCATTGGCCCTGATAATGAGTGTTCCGCTTGTCAAAGTGAGTTTTCTCTGCTTTTTCTAGGACTTGCAGATACACGACGTGTATTTTTCAATAACCCGGTTATCTTTGAACTCGGAAAACAATGAGATTATTTCTCTTCGTAGGATAATACACCAACTCACTTCCAAATGGATTCTGGCGTTAAGAAATCTGTTATTTATTACTGGACAGGAAATTCCCATTTCTGACGCCGTCTTGCTCTGGCGCGAGATTACCCCTCCAAATTCACCAATTTCGAATCGTTCCTGGAACTGCTCTCAACAGTCAAATTCGTTCCAGCAGAAACTCGCTCCCAGAGCAGATCAGTTTTAGCCGGCTGTGTCAGCTTCAGAATTGGATGCATGTGGTGGTGATGGTGGTACTCCAGGGGAGACACATTTCCCCGTTTTAACAAAACTCGAGACTACTTTCCGTAGATTATCCCAGAATGTGCCTTTGATTCTGTTCACAAGCTGGAGAGGAACACATAGATCATCGTAATCATGGCTTTGCAGTCAAAGAATACACTTTCATAGATATTCCGGGGTTTCTGGAGTCGAACTGTTTTCAGTCGACTTCATATGGGGCTATTCTTTGTTACTGGATACTAAAGTACTCCGAGTGCACAACCAAATGTTTCCTAGTGCGATCGTGTTTTTGTGTATGGTGTTTTGTGGAGGGATTCCCCCCCCGCCCGTCCGACCCCCTGTCTACCGTGATGGATTAGGGAGTGATTTTTAATGAGCCAAGCCAAGTCAAACCAGACTAACCAGTTTTTTGGGAATGTGCCCGATGCGTCCTTTTTTGGATCTTTTATTAAGCGTCACCTTAAAAAAACACTTTTTAACAAACTATCTGACATTATCTGACTCGGGTAAGTCTCCTGTTTTTGACAAGCAGATAACCATAGTCCCCCCGCCCTCTGACCACCTGTCTACCCTGATGGATTAGGGAGTGATTTTTAATGAGCCAAGCCAAGTCAAACCAGACTAACCAGTTTTTTGGGAATGTGCCCGATGCGTCCTTTTTTGGATCTTTTATTAAGCGTCACCTTAAAAAAACACTTTTTAACAAACTATCTGACATTATCTGACTCGGGTAAGTCTCCTGTTTTTGACAAGCAGATAACCATAGTTCTACGTCCGTTCTGATATACCCTAGGCAGGTTGGGATTGATTGTGGGTCGCGCACGAATTTTCATCAATTTTGGGGTAATAAACGACTCCAATGTCTTCTTCTAAAGTAGCCTTTCCAGATTAACGAGTTTCTTGTTAGTTTTGACTCAGTCCACAAATGTGTGATGTCTTTATCTTAACACATATTTCATTCATAAAGAGTACATATGCTGGTGTTAATTGGATGTTGACCCTCACTTGTTTGGTAGCCTTTGCTCTGTGGATGGGTCGGTGCATAATTGTGAGAACTTAAACCAGGTGTTAAGTCGTACTCCGGCAGGCGATACACTCGACTTTGTACGGTCAAGCCTAAACATCTGATTGTAGTAAAGGTCCTGTTACTTGTTAGACTTGCCCTGAGTATGCCGCTGGTCGTGTTGTTTGTTGCTTACAGCTGATGTGATTAGAAACTCGGGGTTTCGGGACAGCAACGCGAAACGTTAGTAAGTTATATCGCCTAGTGTGCTTGGGTGTATGCGCTTGTGTTTCTGGTCTCGGCTGCGCGATGTGGTGTGGTGCGGTTCAGAACAGCACAGTACGCCAATTATAGACCATGTATCATGACACAGTGTTGTCAGTTACTGCGGACTGACGCGGCACAGGGATGGCCAACAACAACCCACATCATTTCGCTGTTAACACCGTTAGCGGAAGGCGATAACTTCTTCATGTGAGCCTCCACTACTTTTTATTGATTAACATGAATAATTGTGCACAGCTCCAGTGTTTTGCGTGTGTTCCATCCCGCCTCCATCCACACCTACTGGTTAGGGTTCTCGTGACACGCTTCAAGTTATTAGTTGATGTCGTTTGAAACTCTCCTACCAAACAGATAACGGGAAAGCACTGAATTGGGTGCTTTCAGCAGGGCAACAGGACGAACGGTCACATTCATGTAAAATGGAAAAACCGATAGCAGAAGCCATGTTCATCCTCTGCGTGATGGATAACACTTTTAAGCTTTTTCTCGTATGACCCCTCCCATGGAGTACACCTTCGGAGACAGGATAAGAATACAGCCATCAGAGAAGGCAAGTGGAGCACTGAGAATGGTGCTATTTCTTACAGTTGGGTCTTCGGTCGTGTGAGAGGTTATTCACAGTATCGGTTAAACCCGAACACGTCAGGTTAAAACGGACAGATCTGTTCATGTCTCACGCAAAAAGACCGACCCAGGTGACTTGTAATGGTGAC